AAGCCGAGAGGTAAAGCAATAAATTTCATTACAGCTCATGAGGAAGAGGAATGTATCGTATTATCCTATATCTATCTATCTTTCTATCTAACAATCTGTCTATCTATCTATCATCTATCTATCTCTAATATATCTTACTATTTATCTATATCTATCATCTACCCTATCTATCATTTATCTATCATCTATCTCTAATATATCTTACTATTTATCTATATCTATCATACCTATCATTTATCTATCATCTATCTCTAATATATCTTACTATTTATCTATATCTATCATCTACCTATTATCATTTATCTATCATCTATCTCTAATATATCTTACTATTTATCTAAATCTATCTAAATTCTATCTATCTATCTATCTATCTATCCTCTATCTATCATCTATCTCTATCTAATATATCTTACTATTTATCTATATCTATCTATCTATCTACAATATCAATCGATCTATCTATATGTATCTATCTGTCTGTCTGTCTACCTATCTATCTCGGTATCAATTCATCCATCCATCCATCTCTATCTAATATATCTTACTATTTATCTATATCTATCTATCTATCTATCTATCTATCTATCTATCTATCTATCTATCTATCTATCTATTTATCTATCTATCTATCTACGATATCAATCCATCTATCTATATGTATCTATCTGTCTGTCTGTCTACCTATCTATCTCGGTATCAATTCATCCATCCATCCAGCTATCTCTATCTAATATATCTTACTATTTATCTATATCTATCTATCTATCTACAATATCAATCCATCTATCTATATCTGTCTGTCTATCTATCATCTATCTATCTATCTATCTATCTATCTATCTATCTATCTATCTCGGTATCAATTCATCCATCCATCTATCTCTATCTAATATCTTACTATTTATCTATATCTATCTATCCATCTATCTACCTACCTACCATCAATCAATCAATCAATCAATCAATCAATTTACCTACCTATCAGTGGTGAAATCCGAAGTTTTTTACTGCCAGTTCTGTGGGTGTGGCTTGGTGGGCATGGCAGGGGAAGGATACTGCAAAATCCCCATTCCCACCCCAACCCAGGGGAAGGATACTGCAAAATCCCCATTCCCTCCCCACTCCTGGGGGAAGGATATTGCAAAATCTCCATTCCCACCCCACTCTGGGGCCAGCCAGAAGGTGGTATTTGCCGGTTCTCCGAACTACTCAAAATTTCCTGTCAGAACCTGCTGGATTTCACCCCTGATATATTTTGTTTTGTTTTGTTTGCTTGCTTCTGTGATTTTTTTTTTCTTTTCTTTTTTTGGGAGTTTTGTATTTGGACTTCTGAATAATGATTTGCAAAAAATAAAGATAAAAATGAGAAAGGGGAACGAAGCTTGATGTCTATACAGACATAGACTACAGAATTACAAGCTTTTCATTCCAGAAAATGCAGCCAGCTACAATTAGCAATACCGAGTGAAATACAGGTAGGCCTTGCCTTACGACAATTGAGCCTAAAATTTATGTTGCTAAGTGGAACATTTATTAAGTGAGTTTTGCCCCATTATATGACCTCTCTTGCCACAGTGAACCACTGCAGTTGTTAAGTTAGTAACACGCTTGTTAAGTGAGCCTGACTTCCTTGTTGACGTTGCTTGTCGGAAGGTTGCAAAAGTTCATATTTATGACAGTTGCCATATTCTGGGGGTCATGTGCCCAAATTTCTGACGAGCCAAGTCAATGGAGAAGCCAGATTCAGTTAACATCCGTGCCCCTGACTTACCCACTGCAACAATTCCCTTAACAACAACGGCAAGGAAGGTCGTAAAATGGGACAAACCTCACTGAACCAACGTTCTCGCTTAGCAACATAAATTTCGGGGCTTTTGTCGTCGTTAAGTCGAGGACTGCCTGTATTCCAATCTGCAGTTCCCTTGGCGGGCTCCCGGCTCTGCTTAATCTGTGTCCTCTGCTCAATTTTTAGCGCGACCCATCCGAATCGGTGACGGTGAAAGACGTTTTGGCCCGTGCCGCGGCAAAAGGCCTGCTGGACGGGATCGACCTGGCGAAGCCATCCAAGAGAGAAGAGAAAAAGAAGAAGAAGCACCGAGCCACCCAGCCAAAGAATCCGATCAAGGAGGCGGTGATGCAATCCCGGATTCAGGAGTTCTTGGAACGGGAGACAAAATCCGGAACGACGGAGACCTCCTCTCCCGGATCTAAGGTGGCTTCCAGTAGCTCTCAGGTGTTGAACCAAACCAACGAGCCCGTAACGCTGAAGAAAGCGGCCAACCCTCTTTCGAACTCGTCTCTGCCCGTGATGGCCAAGAATAACCTCACCGCCACCTCCACCATGCAAAAAGTCTTGGAGAAACAGAGGAACGTCGGGAAGTCCAGGAACGATGACCGAGTCATGATTCTGAAGCCTGTCGAGATCGTCCTCCCCCCGGTGATGATGCCGTATTTTAACCCCCAAGGGAACAGGGCCCAGATTTCAACGAACCACTGTTACTATCGTTGGATCGGGGCGAAACACGGTTCTCTCAGCCCTTCGTCATCCAAAAGACTAATTAAGTCCAAAGAGCCTCCCCTGCCTCCGGGGACCAAGCATTCTCGTCCGTGGCTTTGAAGTGGGCGCCATCTTGGTTTGTTTTGGTTTTTTGTTTCTCTCCCCCCCCCTTCTCCCCTCACAATTTGAGACCGATGTTCGTTGAACCATCAGTTCCTGAATATCGTTTGGGCCGTAAAGTGCTTTTGGAAAGAAATGGAAACGTGGCTCCCTTTCGACGTTATTACCAACGAGCTGTTTTGCAAAGATGTTTTTGTTTAAAAAAAATTATGATGATGATGATGTCACGCTTGCATCCAGCTTTGAACGTCCATAAAAAAAATAAAATAAAACCACACTTAACGGATTATGCAGATCATTGGAGGGAACTTTATATATAAAGTTTGACGCGGGCTAAGAGCTAATTAGTTGTTAAGCCACCACGGACCTGAATGGATTTGAAGCGACTGAATTTTTAAGGCGAACCGTTCACACGCAAATGAAAACCGGGGGGAACCTACATAAAGAGAAGAGGAGGCTTCGTTTTTATCCCCCTGATATATTTCAGATCATTTTTTTTTTCCCTTGGGGATTGGGAATGCGTTCCCCGTTCCTGACTTTAGAAGACCCCAACTGGCCTTCGACGTGATCCTTGTAGACATCTTGCTTGCTTAAAAGCCCACTGTTAAGAAGGTACAGCACTTGGAAAGCCACAAGCCGGCTTTGAAAGAGAAAGCTTGAATTTTACAACGAAGAAAGTTAAAGCATTGAGGCAAGAGGCTTTTTTTTTTTTCTGGCGTTGGCGTCACGATTTAACATGCTTTTCCCTTTGGCGGTGATACCAGACTTCATTAGCAACTCAGTATAAATCATCAAGTTATTATGCCGTACGGTTAACTGGAAACAGAGCATATTAAACAATTCCTGATTAATTATTTTCTTGACTACTTATTTTTTTTTTTTAAAAAAATCTTCCCTGCCAAAAAGAGCGAACGAATCTGGTTGTGGCCACAGGTGGTATTCAGCTGGTCCGCACCGGTTCGCCTGAACCGCTTGCGGAAATCACGGGTGGGCCCGCCCACCTGCCCCAGCTCTATGCCATCCTATTTAGGCACGTTTTTGAGGCTGGGCGCATGCATGGACACTCACATTTGAGAACCGGTAGAGAAAGTAAGTGAATACTACCCCTGGTTGTGACGTACACATTTCGGAGCCGATTTGTGCGTTTTAGGAATGATGTCCTTCATAGCTGTGGATCAATGGCATCCTTTCTAGAGTAACTTGTGGGCATTTCCTTATTTATATTATAAACCTGTTTCTAGAAATCGTACAGGCAGTCCTTGACTTACGACGGCAACGGAGCCCCAGAATCGATGTCGTTAAGTGAGACATCGGCAAAGTGAGGTTTTGCTCCGTTTTACGACCTTTCTTGGCCTCCTTCCCCGCTGTCAAGTAAATCGTTGTGGTTGTGAAGTTAGCAATATGGTTTGTTAAGTGAATCGGGCTTCCTTGTTGACTTAGCCAGTTAGAAGGTCACAAAAGCGGATCGCGTGAACTTGGGACACAGCAACGGTTGTACATATGAACCCATTGCTAAGGCCTCTGAATTTTGATCACGTGACCATAAGGATGCTTGGAATGTAAACAGCTGTTGTAAGTCAAGGACTACCTGTTGTTGGCTGAGCTTCTCCAAAGTCTCTTCCCACATTTTCAGTTTATTCATCCTTAGGTTGCATTGTGTTATATTTTAGCTGCTACATCACACTGCTTGCTTGCAATTAGCTACCCTGTTTCCCCGAAAATAAGACCCAACTGGAAAATAAGTCCTAGCATGATTTTTCAGGATGCTTGTAATATAAGCCCTACCCCCAAAATAAGCCTCGGTTAAGATTGTCAGCCAGATGGATGCATTTAGTACCGTATTTCCTCCAAAATAAGACCTAACCAGAAAATAAGCCCTAATGCATCTTTTGGAGCAAAAATTAATATAAGACCCGATCTTATTTTTGGGAAAACACAGTAATAATTTTAGCTCCTCAACATCCCTTTGCTGTCAAACAGCTGCCTGGGGAATTCTGGGAGTTGAAGTCCGCAAGTCTTAAAAGTTGCCAAGGTTGGACTCAAGTTGTTCTAGAAGAGAAAAATTAGTATAATTCTTTCGTCGAGTGCACCAGTATCCATAACAAGGGTTTAAAAAAAAAACCCAGTCAAGATTACGTTTAATGTTCCAATTTACCTATATAGCCTTAAATTTCAATGATGGAAAACACCATCTTAATTTTGTATTTTTAATCACCCCGGCGGCCGTTCTTATTCATAAACATGTTTGGAGCAATACAAAACACACAATAGCAAAGTCTGATTTTGCCTATCGCTACTCATCGTCACCCATCACCATCCTAAAACTTTCAGCCCTGGCGAAAGGACCCCTCTGCGAGCTCATGAATTTAGAGACAAGCGGTTGATGTAATTAAATTTATTCTTGCAATGGATTACATTTAAAGGTGTCAGAGGTGGACAACGTCAGGGGGGAATGGAAAAAGAAAACCTTTCGTTTCCAAACAGAGCATTTCGGTCTAAACACAAGGAGCTCTTGCGGATAAACTCTGCGTGTTTTGTTCCCTTCGACGGAAAAGGGGCAAAAAAAAATAAAATAATGTACGTATTTTTTTCTTTTAAACTCGTGAGGCCCGAGAGAGGAGCTAAGGATCAAAACGACAAGGGGTCTCGATCAAGGCGATCGAGACGCAGTGATTTTTGGAGGAGGACACAATAAAACTAGATGTATTTTGGAGAGTCTCAAGTCATCCAGGTTATGGTTGTCCCAAAGGGGCTTCCTTGGTTTTTCTTTTCTTTTGAAGACGTTTCATTGTTTTTCCTTGAAACCGTTTCGCTTCTCGTCCAAGAACTGAAGAAGCTTCTCGGATGAGAAGTGAAACGTCTTCAAAGGAAAAACAATGTCGGGTTGCTTTTGGAGGAGAAAAAAACCAACACTTTTGGGACAATAAAAGTAGATTTTTTTTCTCCCCCCCCCCCCCCCCCCCCGACGAGCCTGCTGTTTCATTGTCTTCAGAATTCTTCTAAAAAGATGCAATTCTTGGAAATTTTGAAAAACGCTTTTCAAGATATTGCTTTTCGACTTACGGATAAAACATGCCCCATCTGTTTTTCTTTATTCCCAAGCCTGATAATTCTGCACACACGAGTTTTTTTATCAGGGAGAACTCCTTGCCTTAGAAAACAGGATTTTCATGCCGTTTCTTATGTCTTCATTTTTATTTTTTATTTCAACGAGGCCGATGCTGTGTGTGGACCAAGGGAGAGGAAAGCCATGAAGAGGTTACAAATTAGTTTAATTATAATTAAACCCCCTTTCTTGCGTAGATCAGTGAGGTGGCCCTGTGAAAGCAGGATCTAAGTTGGCTTGCGTGTTTCCCCCCAAAAATAAGTCATTGCACATCATTTTTATCGTTAACATCATTAAAAAAGTGACTACAAATAATAGAAAATTCCTCCGACTTTTGGCAGCCTATGATATACACTCTTGTTTAATTAGGGCTGGACTGATGCATCTGGCTGCTCCATAAATGGGTAGTTTGGTTAAAAACGGAATACAGATAGTCCTCGATTTACAACACTTCATTTAGTGACCGTCTGAAGTTACGATGCCACTGAAAAAAAGCGACTTATGGACATTTTTCACTCGTGGCAGCACCCCCCCTGTGGTCATGGGATCGAATTTCAGACGCTTGGCAACCGGTTTCGCATTTATGACGGACGTGATCCCCTTCGGCGACCTTTTGACAAAGTCAAGGGGGAAGCCAGTTTCGCTTAACAACCGTGCTTACTAATTTTAACGTCCACAGAACAAAAGGCGGCAAGAGAAGTCGTAAGACGGGGCGAAACTGACTTCACAAGCGTCTCGCTTAGCGACAGAAATGTTGGGCTCAATTGCGGTCGTAAGGCGAGGACTGCCTGCAAAAACATTTGAAGCTGCGTTGAAATTGGTTCATCCCAAACACAACCAGGCATCATCGCTCCTTACAAAGAGACACAAAAGAATGCATAGATCACAAAAACAGCATAACCATGTTGTGTTAAAATCATTGGGGTTTGTTCACACTGTCTTCCTTTTGCTTGTGGGAGGGTGGGGTGGGGCGGGACAGGGCGTGGCATGGCATGGCGGGGAAAGAACCTGGTTTCCTGGATACAGAACATGTCATCCTGAACTTGCTCGCCCACCGGGAGTTTCCGAAAAACGTTTCTGTTAACCAAAACTTAAAATTTTTAAAAATCAAATTCAGATTTTTCAAATGTGTTCCCAAAAAAAAATTTGAAATGGGTTCGTTGCCAGCCAGCCCAACACCGAAATCTTAAAATTCAAATTTAAAACTCCCTTCTACGGAGATTCTTCAACATCCACAGTTGTCTCGAAGTTGCTTTTTCTAAAACCAACTGTATTTTCTTGGTGTTTGTGGGTTTTTTACCCCCCTTGAAAACATTTCGCTTCTCACCCAGGAAGCTTCTTCAGTTCTTCAGGATGAGAAGGGAAGCGATTCTGTGTATTTCCTAAGCCCGTTTTTCTGGAACACTCATCTGTTCGGCAGGCAACGGAGAACCCAAAATCCTGGTTTTTTGTTTTGGGCTGTTAGGAGTTTTAAACCCAAAGGTGCTTTTTCCATAAGGCAACTGGATTTCCTTGCTGTTGTTGTTGTCCCTTAAAAATGTTTCGCTTCTCATCCTTAAATGATTTCAAAGGGGAAAAAAACCCAAGGAAGTCCAATTCATCATCATCTTCTTTTAATGACCCCGTAATCCCTTGCGGGGGGTGGAGTCTTGGGCAACTGAATAAAGCTGTTTACTGGCCAGATGCCCTTCCTGTCACCAATGCGGAGTTTTATTCGGCAGATATATTCTCATTGTGAGAATATGTTCTCTTCGGCAGAGAGAGAAATATCTACCTCTACCTAGGATCGAACTCACAGCCTCCCGATTGTGAGGAGAGCTCCAACCTCTAGGCCACCGCACCACTCTTGCGGCATCCCTGAGCAAAGTTCAGGTGCTTGGCAATTTGGAAAAAAGCACCTTTGGGTTTAAAACTCCTATTCCTTCGGTCAGCCGCCCTAAAATAAAAATAAAAATATTTCGTTTTCTCCATTGGCTGCCCAACAGATTGACAGTTCCGGAAAAAAAATGGATTAGGAAATACACAGAATTCCTGGGTAGCGGCATCCATAGGGTGTGTTTCAGGTCAAAAAATTCAAAATGGTGGCCAGATCCATCCAACACAGCCCCGCCCTCTTATGTCTAAAAGGGGCGGGGTTTTGATTTTTGTCAATGTGGACTCTTCCCAGTTCCTGGGTTAAAATGTTAAGTTGATTTGCATTGCCGGTCCCTTACGAGATCATTCCAAATTAACATTTCAAAAGAATAAAGGTAAAGGTTCCCCTCGCACATACGTGCTAGTCGTTCCCGACTCTAGGGAGCGGTGCTCATCTCCGTTTCAAAGCCGAAGAGCCAGCGCTATCCGAAGACGTCTCCATGGTCATGTGACCGGCATGACTCAATGCCAAAGGCGCACGGAACATTGTTACCTTCCCACCAAAGGTGGCCCCTATTTTTCTATTTGCATTTTTTACCTGCTTTCAAACTGCTAGGTTGGCAGGAGCTGGGACAAGTAACGGGAGCTCACCCCGTTACGCGGCACTAGGGATTCGAACCGCTGAACTGCCGACCTTTCGATCAACAAGCTCAGCGTCTTAGCCCCTGAGCCACCGCATCCCTTATTCAAAAGAATAAACATTAATAATTAGTATGCAGTTTCTAAAAAAATGAGCTGAGGTTTCAAAAATAAAAAATAAAAAATCGGGCTCTTCAACAGAGCTGCAACCGGTGGCCTTAGGCCAGAGCAAGTTAAGGAAAACTGGGTTTATCGTTTCCATGTTCATAACAGCCGGTAGTTTTCATACCCATGTAGGTTTATTTCCCTCACCCAGAAGTCTGTCTTCTTTGCATAGGTGGTTAGGTCAGAACACCAGACAATAAAAAAAATGGCCTTGCTGTAAAAGTTGCGTTGACCTGAATTATACAAGTATCTATCTAGACAGCTATAACAGCTTAAAAACGGAGGAAGACTCTGGTTTTCGACGTGGAGACCTGTGACCTAGTTCACACATGCACAAGAAGCCAACATTGGGAATTTGTGAACTGGCTGCCCCGGGAAGCAATGGGTTGAAGGGGATTGTGATTGTGTCACCATCCTTTGATGTTCTGGTGTGAACCACAGGCAATTTTCTGCTGCCTCTAGAGCCTCGATGGCGAACGTATGACACGCGTGCCAGAGGTGGCACACAGAGCCTTCTCTGTGGACACGCGCGCCGTCGCCAGCTGCTGTTCTGGTTTCTAGCGTGCCAGACGGTTTTCGTGGGTGTCGGAGTGCCTGAAAACGGCCCAAAAACGCACCCCCAAATAGTCAAAAAGCAGGCCGTTTTGGGGCCATTTTCAGGGCCTTTTTCCGGGCCAAAACCAGCCCGAAATATGGCCTGAAAATGGCTCCCAAAATGGATAAAGAACAGGACGTTTTTCGGCCATTTTCAGGGCCTTTTTCCGGGCCAAAAACAGCCCGAAAGAAAGGCCTGAAAAATACCCCAAAATGCCCTAAAAATGGCCCCCAAATGGACAAAAAAAACCCAGGCCATTTTTCGGCCATTTTCAGGGCCCTTTTTTGGGCCAAAAACAGCCTGAAAGAAAGGCCTGAAAATGCCCCCCAAACAGCCTAAAAATGGCCCCCCCAAATGGACAAAAAACAGGGTGTTTTTCGGCCATTTTCAGGGCCTTTTTCCGGGCCAAAAACAGCCCAAAAGAAAAGGCTGAAAATGCCCCCATAATGTCCCCAAAATGGACAAAAAAAAAAAGAGGCCATTTTTCGGCCATTTTCAGGGCCTTTTTTCGGGCCAAAAACAGCCCGAAAAATGGCCCAAAAACAGCCTGAAAATGGCCCCAAAATGGCCTGAAAACGGCCCAAAAACAGGCATTCGTGCGCTGGCCAGCTGGCATTTCTGTTTCCGATGCTTGGGTGCGCTCACATGTACACACGTTCCGGGTTGGGCACTTGGTGCTGAAAAGGTTCGCCATCACAGCTCTAGAGAATATCAAAAGCTTAACTCGACACTGAACCAAGCAACAACCATTCTTTGGAGCAAGAAGGAAAAAGAGCGGGCTTTTCTGAGAGAACTGAAGAACTGAAAGTTTTGGAAGTCCACCTTGGCTTTCTACTACTCTTATCTTATTCCCAGTTGCTTCTTTTGATCCGTGTGGCTCTCTGGCTCAGGGCCAGTTTACACTTCTATACTTATGTAGGAAAAGAGCACATTTATAAAGTGGTGTTTAAAAGGTAAAGGTTCCCCTCGCACATACGTGCTAGTCGTTCCTGACTCTAGGGGCCGGTGCTCATCTCCCTTTCAAAGCCAGAAGAGCCAGCTCTGTCCGAAGACATCTCCGTGGTCACGTGGCCGACATGACTCAACGCCAAAGGCGCACGGAACGCTGTTCCCTTCCCACCAAAGGTGGTCCCTATTTTTCTACTTGCATTTTTTTTACCTGCTTTCGAACTGCTAGGTTGGCAGAAGCTGGGACAAGTCACGGGAGCTCACCCTGTTACGCGGCGCTAGGGATTCGAACCGCTGAACTGCCGACCTTTCGATCGACAAGCTCAGCGTTTGTTTAGGCTGACAAAATTGTGTCAAGCGTAAGCAGAAGAGACGAGCGTTGGGAAGGCACGGTTGGTGTTTTTCCTAGAGCTGGAAAAACAATTGTCCAAGAACCTGGTAACATCTCACAAGGTTAGATCTTTTGCTGTAGCAACCGCTGTCCAAACCATTCAAAGGACAACCATTCAAGGAAGGTGATTGGTGGTTTTTCTTTTTCTTTCTTTTTTTTCAAACCTGGCAACTTCAAGACCTGTGGACTTCATCTCCCAGAATTTCTCAGCCAGCCAGTCAGCCAGCCAGGTTGGGGAATTCTGGGAGATGAAGTCCACACAATTTTGAAGTTGCCAAGTTTGTGAAACCTTGTTCTAGGCCAGTGATGGCAAATCTTTTCAGCACTGAATGCCCAAACCGGAATGCGCATGCGTGCACCAGAGCGCCAGAAACCCGAAGACCAGCTGGCCGGCACACCAGCATGTGCGCTGGGGACCAAAAGAGCAGCTGGCGATGGCGTGCGTACCTACAGAGAGGGCTCTGTGTGCTACCTCCATAAGTTCGCCATCACGGTTCCAGGCTGATGGATGTTATGACTCCCGTCTTTTAGACGGGACAGGATAATGGAGTGAGGTTTTGGCTTGTTAAGTGTGCACTTTTTGAATGCTTGGTCCTGTGGGAATCGTCGTTCCATCTGTCCCTCTCCAAGAGGCTGTGACCGAGAGCATCAGTCAACAGATCATCATCCTTGCTTCCAAGAAATCTTAGGTGGCTTCCCTAGTCTTCCTCTCGAGACCATCACTTCACTTTTTCCATTGCCCCCCCCTCCCCCCAAGAGGCTATCTATCCCTGGGGAATTCGAAGCTGCTTCCTTTGGAAGAGCATCAGGTGAACTCGTGCGACACGGTATACAAATGATCAAAAGTACAAACAAACGGATTAAACAGTCGACAGCCACAAGGGCATCAGCCAGGTGTGATCCAAGCATCAAAGTGAGAGCCACAGCAGTGAGACCGAAGCGCCACCTGTGATGCCCGTAACCACCAGGTGGTGCTTCAATGCCGGTCTTGTGGCCATCATCTTGACTTCAGTTTCGTGTTTTGTTTTGTTTTAACCAAACCCTACAGACACTCCTGGTCAATGGAAACCACAGGTTGCGTTAAGGTGCAATCACAAGGTAGAAGGAACCACCGCAAAGGGGGTGTGCTTGGCATGACAGGGGCTCCTCCGGTTTTCCCGAAGCCAAACCGCCGTAACATCTAAATCTGCGTTCCAACCCAAACATCTAACCGCGGGAAAGCCGGGTTTCTTACGTCAACCTCGCCGTCCCAATCAAAGTCCCTAAGAAAGCTGCAAAGTAGAATGGATCTCGCAGAACAAAACAAAAAAAACAACAACAACAACAACGAAGGACACAATTTGAATGTCCAGGACTTCAGTCCAGAGGAAATCCAGGGTGCTTGCGTGCAAATCTATCAGTAAGAAAAGGAACTTTTGTTTTCACCGACATTATTTTTATATATATATCTATATATATTATCATGAGGGGAAGCCATCAGTTGTAGGCTCAAGTGGTCAGTTCCGCGCCTGTCGCCCGGTGAGATGTAGAAAAAGAATAACCTGGATCTATGAAAGGATAAGAGGCACTTGAGCCTTGGCGTCATAAGCATTGGGGCGGTGGAGTCTGTTCCAAAATAAAACCCGGTTTATCCTGCCGAACTTCTCAAACATGGACCAGTATGTAAACAAACGCAATTTCGGACTGAAGGCCACTTCAAATATGGTGTTGGTTTCCCACGCGGGCAGCCCTTCTCTGGAAAGAAAAACCACGCAGACCACACAGAGAGATATTTTATGGTACACGTCCGTCTTCTTCACCGTACGTACATTTGTGCTAGAAAGAGACAAATGAAGGAACAGATGCTGCGACACTTGGATGTGCGGTGTGACCTACGCATGCAACGGGGTTGGCCACAAGGTGTTGTCACCTGGCTGGCACAATCCTTCCTGCGTGGACGGGGTCTTCTCTCTCCACGGCAGGACACCTGACTGGCCTCTCCGAGACGAAGTGATGACTACGGCGCACAAGACTGAAGGTTAATCACGAATGCTCTTTTTGTAAAAAATAAGAAGCTTGGTATTAGTAGTATAATAATACAAGAGTTAACTAATACTTGGTTGTGTAAATTCACTGTTAAAAAAAGAGGGAAAGTGCTCAGGAGCGATGGGATTCCTCGGGTTGGGTTCTTTGCAAAGATGAACTGTCATCTGATGCACCCATCCCCTTCCGGATGTGTGAATCGAAGTCACGTCCGTCCTATTTACAATCAGAAAGCAAGGCCTTCCACTTCTCGGATCTCACAAGGAGCAAAAAAAAAAAAAAAGAACGTTAAAAAAAAGAAAAGGTCATGCTTCTTTTCAATATTACTCGGTGGCGGCAAGAGTGAGAACATGCTTGTCTAATAATATTTTCCCGTAACTTTTCTGAAAGTGAAGATTTCCAACGGAAGGAAGGAAGGAAGGAAGGAAGGGAAGGCCTTCATCCAGTCGTCTTTCTTTTAAAACGCAGCGGCTGTCTCTTTTTTTGCGTGACGTTTTGGGGGGAAACGCCTGGGGGTGGGTGAACCCGCAGGTCCGTCATGGCATGTCAGTCACAGGACGCTTCTGTTTCAAAGTGTCAATCAGGGACAGGACTCCGCGTTTCACGTTGGTGGTGACCCGCCTTGTCACGGAGTCTGCTGGAGGAGGAGGAGGGCGGACTTTCTGAGAAAGAGGTCGGGCGACCAAACACTTCTGATACCGCAGCTGCAACACAACAAAAGTACAGGTATACAGGTTACGAGTGTTCCCTTAGTGAATGTTCACAGTTACGCGATCAGCGCCCATAGCTGATCAGCGCCAAACTATGAATCTTGCAGCACCATGGCAGTTGTTCGCCCTTACGAACAACCGCAGAGGCTCTGCAACATTTGTCCTGCACGTTGCTGACCGGAATGGAGCTTCTGAGGGGCAGATCCGCCACTCAGAAGCCCCATTTGGCCATCCAGAGGCCTCCCCCAGCTTGTTGAAGGCTGAAATGGAGCCTCTGGGGGCTGGATCTGGTCCTCCAAGGCTCCATTCGGCCCTCCGCAGCCCTCCCCTGGCCCGTGATCCGATCCATAATCCGGATCCGGCCCCAGAAAGCTCCATTTCGGCCTGCAACAGGCTGGGGGAGGCCCACAGGGACTGAATGGAGCCTCGGAGGGCCAGATCCAGCCTACAGAGGCTCCATTTCGGCCTGCATCGGGGCAAAATGAGGCTGGAGGCGAGACTGCTTGCTAGATCTTCACAAGGTAAGTGACCCGGCGCAGCAGCAATTTGGGCCGGCATGAGGTATTTCAGTGGGTCGGGGAGACCTTGGGTGGTCTTAGATAGGTGGCCTGTTTCATCGGTAGGCTCCCTATCACCTTTCCCACCCTGAGATACCTCATGTGCACTTAATGTGCCGTGCATTCGATTAACAAATGCGTGGGCGAAAGGAGGGAGTGATCACGTTCACGGTATGAGATTCACTCCCACAAATCCTCTGGTTACAAATTGATTACATTCGTAACGCGAGGACTACCTGTATATCAACATCATAAGGCAGCTTTGCACGCTACCTTAAGACTCCCTAAAAGGGGTGTTTTTTTTAAACCCAGAGACACAGTGAATCCCTTGAAGATTTTATTGATAATTTTGGTACCGGAGGCTACAGGGCAAACACTGAAGGAGGAGATGTTAAGAAGCTTAACCCTGCACATTAACACATGCAAATTTTCTCTTCCATTGGATTGATTGTATTACAATTACAAATGATCAATCCCAGTTTCATAGGTCATTACTGTTATGCATTGATAAAGGGCATCTTTATTAGTAGGATCCAGTTAATGCTTATTTAAATGCCCAAGTAGAGGGACAGCAGACAAGATCTTCACAAACTTTACAAACCTTTTATTTTAAACAATGATCTCTTGCATGGATCTATGCTATTTTCCCCCAGCAGCTATTTTACAAATTCTTGATTCCCTTGGGGCTAGTGTGCATTCTTACAATTTCATCAATCTTGTTAGCAACTTGTTGCTTCCGGCACAGCTGTGAATTCCCGGCGCCTGCTGAGTCTACGCTACAGCTTACTAATTGCTTACACAAATAGAACATTGTATAATTTGGAGTCCCTTTTCATGGAATGGGACAACTTGCCACAGCCAACTCACCGTGGGAGAACTTGCTATGGGACAATGTAACAATCCTATTTAATTATTTAAAATAAACCGCATCTTTCCCCCACATAAAAGTGGGTGAAAATTTAGGTGCGTCTTATAGACGTTTTTGGCTTCCCGAACACTCCGTGCATCACGTTTTCACCAGCCCCGGCCCCCAGAAGCATTTTGCAGTGCTCTGTACGGCCCGTTTTTGGGCTCCCAAGCCCTCTACGCGTCGCTTTTTTGCCCTCCCTGGCCCCAAGAAGCACTCTGCAGGCCAAAAACTATTTTTTCCTTGTTTTCCTCCTGTAAATTTAGGTGCGTCTTCTAGTCCGAAAAATATAGTAATTTATTTTTCAATTTTTGCAAATCACTTTTTATTCTGTCTCCCCTTTTGCATCCTTTCTTTCCATCCTTTCTTTGATATTAATGTAACTCTTGTCTCGCAGCGAGTTGTCCCGCATTGAATTGGCTACAGCAAGGCAGCCGTGGCGAGTTGGCCGTGGCAAATTGCCACAGGCCCCTATTTGAACCCTTCAAAGTTTCTCTTTCCCAAGCAACCCTTCTGTCAACTTGCAAAGCTTTCAAGTTGCCATGAGCAGGAGGGAGGGAGAACTGATAGAGCTGATTGATTTCCCTAACTGAAGTGCATTCCATACATTCTTCCTGACCACAATCAGAAGGAGAGTGTTAGGTTTCACAGCCAGCCAAAGTGGTTAATTGGAGAATGTGATTTATGACATGGCCAGAGAGGAGGGGAGAGACAGGGTCATAGGGGAAGGTAAATCTACGTAGGATCAGTCCTAACTGCATCCGAGTATTGCCGGAATGTTGCTCCTAATAAATGAATATATTTCCTTTGAAGTTTGGATCATGGCTCATGAATTAATTAGGGCATCTTTCGGAAACTTGACACCTTCGTCAAGTCATACGTCCCTAAGCTGAAAAACCTGGGATCTGTTGATTGGCCTGGGTGAGCTCGGTTTTCGTGGGTTTTTTGCAGATGTTCCATGACCCAGCTGTGGGTTCTGGTTGTCCCAAAGGTGGTTTTTCAAGAGGCAACTCAACTTTCTGGTTTTTCTTTGAAGACGTTTCGCTTCTCATCCCAGAAGCTTCTTCAGCTCTGACTGGATGATGGGGAAGGGAAGGATTTATGCTCCTTGCAGACAGCTGGCCATTTGCATTCTTTACAACACAATTCTCTACAACACAGTCCTTTCAACCGTTCCAAGAAGGCTCCACGCCCATTTGCACCACAAAATTAAACCTCCAAGTGGCCTCAACGACTCTCTAAAAGGATGCAAATGACCAGCTGTCTGCAAGACATATAAATCCTTCCGTCCCCCACCATCCAGTCAGAGCTGAAGAAGCTTCTTGGATGAGAAGCGAAACGTCTTCAAGAAAAAACCAGAAAGTCCAGTGACCTCTTGAAAAAAAAAAAGCACCTTTGAGATTCCCTGCAAAAGACTCCTTTTCTTTGCTGAGCACTGAAGCTCAGCCAACAGGGAGTTAACTGACACCAATATTTATTATCTGTTGTGCTTTCCTTGCAAATATAACACTGTACACACCACCAAACTTCACAGTGATTGAATGCCCTGCTTGGAATAGGCTACTATTTATAGAATTGTCCTACTTACCATACAGGCAGCCTGAACAGCCTCGGAGACGTTACCAGCGTTGGGTTCGCACCAGAAGACGTGACACTCGAAATGCTGGTTTCCCGCGTCCATAATGAAGGCGAATGTATGTATGTCTTTTCCCACGCCCATGAAAGACAAGAAGCGGACACGACATTCCACCACAATCTCCTCTTCATTCTAGGTGTGAAGGAAAAGTTGTTGCTGTTACAGTTTCGTGTAAAAGGAACTGTACCTTATATTCAGAAGTGGGGTGGCTGGGCGGGGACAGGCCCACCCGCAGGTTGCTACTACCGGTTCGCCCGAATCAGTCCGAACCGGCTGAATACCAACTCTGCTTATATCCATGTTTCGGGGTTAATGAACTGGAGCTTGCCAAATCAGGAAGGCCGCAAAAGTGTCAGCCACAACTTTCAATTTGACATCCTTGATTCTCCTAGCGGAGGCTCTTATTTTATTTATTGATTGATTGATTGATTGATTGATTGATTTGATTTGATTTGATTTGATTTGATTTCTATACTGCCCTACTCCCGAAGGACTCAGGGCGGTGCACAGCCAAACAATAAAATACATACATATAAAATTTAAAAGTAGAATTAAAATCAAATTAAATAGTTTTGGCCCAGACAAATTAAAACCCCAAACAATTTAAAACCAATTTTAAAATTTGAATGTATAAAATACTAAAAGATATTTAAAAATTAAAAATCTTTTATAAAAGAGGGAGAAAATTAGGCCAGGCCCGCCTGGAGAAATAATAAGGTCTTGAGAGCACGGCGGAAGGTGCACAGATCTGGGATCCTCCGTATCTCCGGGGGAAGTTCGTTCCAGATAGTAGGTGCCCCCACAGAGAAGGCTCTCCCCCTGGGGGCCGCCAGTCGGCATTGTTTGGCCGACGGCACCCGGAGGAGCCCCTCTCTATGGGAGCGTACCGGCCGGTGGGAGGCTATTGGTGGTAGTAGGCGGTCCCGCAAGTACCCAGGTCCTAAGCCATGGAGCGCTTTAAAGGTGGTAACCAAAACCTTGAAGCGCACCTGGAAGACCCCCGGGGGCCAATGCAGCTCGCGCAGGAGAGGTGTTACATGGGAACACCATGTCGCTCCCATTACCACCCGCGCGGCCGCACTCTGCGCCAGTTGGAGCCTCCAGGTGCTCCTCAAGGGGAGCCCCATGTAGACAGCGTTGCAATAGTCCAGGCGGGAGGTGACAAGGGCATGAGCTCTCCCCCTGGGGGCCACCAGTCAGCATTGTTTGGCCGACGGCACCCGGAGGAGCCCCTCTCTATGAGAGCGTACCGGCCGGTGGGAGGCTATTTGTGGTAGTAGGCGGTCCCGCAAGTACCCAGGTCCTCTTAAAGGAGTGGACACTAAAATATCCAGTGACTGGAATCTGTTATAAATCTTACATACCTTCTAGGCACATTACTAAAATTTTATGCACCTTGTAGGATTTTTAAAAAAAAAAATCTTTAAAAAACCCTTATTGCTTAGGCTGGATACCTTTGTTTCTCAACCTTAACAACTTTATGATGCATACACTTCAAACATGCTGGCTGGGGAATTCTGGGAGCTGTAGTCCATGCATTTTAGGATGGCCAAGATTTGAAAAATACTGCCCTAGGGTGCAAAACAGACTTAATTTTTTCATTTATTTCGGTGCAGAGGTGGCAGAACGCACGCTCTGTAGGCCACATTCCATGGCGTAATCGCCTCGTTAAAGTTAATTAACTTTCCAGTTAATTAGACTGTAGGCAGGATCGATGCAATTCATTTAATTTTCTCCCCTTAAATCTGGGATAATTACTGTTGAAAGCCTCACTGATTTCAAGGTTTTTGGTTGTTGTTGTTTTTTTTAAATCGTGGAATGCTAATTAAATTGACAGTTTGGTTATTTTTGTAAGTGAAGATAGTAGCACATGGAAAACGGGTTGAAAATGCAGCGCAAATTATCCATTGGCACCACCAAATCTGTTTTGACTGACACTACAGACGGGCCTCTCTGAGTTTCACCCATAACTTTAAAGCAGGAGTCCTCAAACTTTTTAAACAGGGGGCCAATTCACGGTCCCTCAGACTGTTGGGGGGCCGGACCTGCTGGGTGGGTGTGGCTAGGTGGTCATGTGACTGGGTGGGTGTGGTTAGGTGGTCATGTGACTGGGTGGGTGTGGCTAGGTGGTCAAGTGACTGAATAGTCATGGCCAATTCAGCAGTCCATTAAACAATACACACAATTTAAAGTTCAATTTGTTGTGCTCCTGCGGGTGGAAAGCGGGTTAGTGAAGGGCTGGAACTGCCTTGGAGGGGTGAGGGACTTCTGTTTGTGTGTATCTCCCTCCCTCCCTCTCTCTCTGGAGGCCGGGGAGGCCAAAAACGGGCCCGTTTTTGGCCTCCTTGGCCTCCAGAAGACAGGTGGGGGCCGGCGGGTAGGTGGGACGATGTGGGTGGGGCAGCCTCATGGTCCCACGCGGGCCGGATTAATGGCTGCGGTGGGCCATATCCAGCCTGCGGGCCGTAGTTTGAGGACCCCTGCCTTAAAGGCTTAGAGAAAAAATAAAATAAGGTACAGAAGAAGGATGAAAGAAACAATCTTCTTCTTTCTTTGTCGTTTTTAATGACCCCGTAACCCCTTGCAGGGTGGAGTCAGGGCAACTGAATGAGGCTGAGTGTTTACTGGCCGGATGCTTTTCCTGTCGCCAATGCGGAGTTTTGTTCGGCAGATATATTCTCATTGTGCCCAGAGAGAGAAAAATCTGCCTCTACCTAGGATCGAACTCACTGCCTCCTGATTGTGAGGTGAGAGGCTCCACCTCTAGGCCACAGCGCCACTCGAGAATGAAAGAAACAATGCGATCTACAAAATCAACTGTTAAGCACTGCAAGCAGTTCTACGCGGGACAAATATCACGTCGATTAAAAAACAGGATCCACAAACACCGGCTGGCCGTCAAACGCCACGATCCCAAATCCTTAATCCCCACCCACACCAACACCAACACAGAACCAGTTTGATTGGAGCAACACAAAAATCATTGGCACACCGCCACCCGTCACGCTTATGAGTTCATCAGAGCTTATGAGTTCTGCAACATGGCACTCCAGAAGCCATTCCATCTGACCTACAAACAGCCCATGAACCCATCAGGATCAGGGGTGAAATCCAGCAGGTTCTGATAGGTTCTGGCGAACCGGTAGCAGGAATTTTGAGCAGTTCAGAGAACCGGCAAACACCACCTCTGGCTGGCCCCAGAGTGGGGTGGGAATGGGGATTTTGCAGTATCCTTACCCTGGAGTGGGATGGGAATGGGGATTTTGCAGTATCCTTCCCCTGCCATGTCCACCAAGCCACGCCCACCAAGCCACACCCACAGAACCGGTAGTAAAAAAATTTGGATTTCACCACTGATCAGAATTCAAATCAACCACACAGCCAACCAGAGATGGCACTGACCCTCAACCAAGCCCCTTCCATTAATAGTTCACCTCCCAATGATCCTGACCTGATGTGACCTCTCCATCACAAGACCCATCACAAGGCCCTCGTCGCACCTGACCCATCAAGCCCCTGACCTGATATAACCTCCCCAACATAAGGCCCACCATAAGACTCTCACTGGTGACCCACATTTGACCCATCACAAGGCCCCCACCTGACATGACCACACCTGACCGATTTGAAAAATACTGCCCTAGGGTGCAAAACAGACTTAATTTTTTCATTTATTTCGGTGCAGAGGTGGCAGAACGCACGCTCTGTAGGCCACATTCCATGGCGTAATCGCCTCGTTAAAGTTAATTAACTTTCCAGTTAATTAGACTGTAGGCAGGATCGATGCAATTCATTTAATTTTCTCCCCTTAAATCTGGGATAATTACTGTTGAAAGCCTCACTGATTTCAAGGTTTTTGGTTTTGTTGTTTTTTTTTTAAATCGTGGAATGCTAATTAAATTGACAGTTTGGTTATTTTTGTAAGTGAAGATAGTAGCACATGGAAAACGGGTTGAAAATGCAGCGCAAATTATCCATTGGCACCACCAAATCTGTTTTGACTGACACTACAGACGGGCCTCTCTGAGTTTCACCCATAACTTTAAAGCAGGAGTCCTCAAACTTTTTAAACAGGGGGCCAATTCACGGTCCCTCAGACTGTTTGGGGCCGGACCTGCTGGGTGGGTGTGGCTAGGTGGTCATGTGACTGGGTGGGTGTGGTTAGGTGGTCATGTGACTGGGTGGGTGTGGCTAGGTGGTCAAGTGACTGAATAGTCATGGCCAATTCAGCAGTCCATTAAACAATACACACAATTTAAAGTTCAATTTGTTGTGCTCCTGCGGGTGGAAAGCGGGTTAGTGAAGGGCTGGAACTGCCTTGGAGGGGTGAGGGACTTCTGTTTGTGTGTATCTCCCTCCCTCCCTCTCTCTCTGGAGGCCGGGGAGGCCAAAAACGGGCCCGTTTTTGGCCTCCTTGGCCTCCAGAAGACAGGTGGGGGCCGGCGGGTAGGTGGGACGATGTGGGTGGGGCAGCCTCATGGTCCCACGCGGGCCGGATTAATGGCTGCGGTGGGCCATATCCAGCCTGCGGGCCGTAGTTTGAGGACCCCTGCCTTAAAGGCTTAGAGAAAAATAAAATAAGGTACAGAAGAAGGATGAAAGAAACAATCTTCTTCTTTCTTTGTCGTTTTTAATGACCCCGTAACCCCTTGCAGGGTGGAGTCAGGGCAACTGAATGAGGCTGAGTGTTTACTGGCCGGATGCTTTTCCTGTCGCCAATGCGGAGTTTTGTTCGGCAGATATATTCTCATTGTGCCCAGAGAGAGAAAAATCTGCCTCTACCTAGGATCGAACTCACTGCCTCCTGATTGTGAGGTGAGAGGCTCCACCTCTAGGCCACAGCGCCACTCGAGAATGAAAGAAACAATGCGATCTACAAAATCAACTGTTAAGCACTGCAAGCAGTTCTACGCGGGACAAATATCACGTCGATTAAAAAACAGGATCCACAAACACCGGCTGGCCGTCAAACGCCACGATCCCAAATCCTTAATCCCCACCCACACCAACACCAACACAGAACCAGTTTGATTGGAGCAACACAAAAATCATTGGCACACCGCCACCCGTCACGCTTATGAGTTCATCAGAGCTTATGAGTTCTGCAACATGGCACTCCAGAAGCCATTCCATCTGACCTACAAACAGCCCATGAACCCATCAGGATCAGGGGTGAAATCCAGCAGGTTCTGATAGGTTCTGGCGAACCGGTAGCAGGAATTTTGAGCAGTTCAGAGAACCGGCAAACACCACCTCTGGCTGGCCCCAGAGTGGGGTGGGAATGGGGATTTTGCAGTATCCTTACCCTGGAGTGGGATGGGAATGGGGATTTTGCAGTATCCTTCCCCTGCCATGTCCACCAAGCCACGCCCACCAAGCCACACCCACAGAACCGGTAGTAAAAAAATTTGGATTTCACCACTGATCAGAATTCAAATCAACCACACAGCCAACCAGAGATGGCACTGACCCTCAACCAAGCCCCTTCCATTAATAGTTCACCTCCCAATGATCCTGACCTGATGTGACCTCTCCATCACAAGACCCATCACAAGGCCCTCGTCGCACCTGACCCATCAAGCCCCTGACCTGATATAACCTCCCCAACATAAGGCCCACCATAAGACTCTCACTGGTGACCCACATTTGACCCATCACAAGGCCCCCACCTGACATGACCACACCTGACCTACAAGACCCTCACTTGACACAACCCATACCTGACCCATCACAAGACCCTCACTTGACATGACCACACCTCACCCATCACAAGACCCTCATTTGACATGACCACACCTGACCTACAAGACCCTCACTTGACACAACCCATATCTGACCCGTCACAAGACCCTCACTTGACATGACCACACCTGACCCATCACAAGACCCTCACTTGACATGACCACACCTGACCTACAAGACACTCACTTGACATGACAACACTTGACCCATCACAAGACCCTCACTTGACACAACCCACATCTGAACCACCACAAGGCCCCCACTTGACATGACCACACCTGACCAATCACAAGACCCTCACTTGACATGATCCACACCTGACCAATCACATGACACTCATTTGATGGGACCCTCACCTGATGGGACCTCATCACAAGACCTACTGACCACACGAAGCCCTTAGAAGCAGGAGAACGCCGACAATGACATCCCCTAAACTCCCCTGAAGATCTTACCTACCCTGGTAACGAAACGCTCGGAAAACCAACCCACAAGCTCGGAAAACAAACCTCCACCTTCATCCTACACCCGAGTTACACTATAGCAATAATAATAATAATAATAATAATAATAATAATGATGATGATGATGATGATGATGATGATGATGATGTCGTTGGGTCAAGTTACAAATCCTAGCATTAAAATAGGACAAGTTGAAGGAACCGTACTCCATCGCTGATGACGGTAACAGTAGCATCAGCAACATTCATGGTGACAGGTGTCCAGTCTTCTCTGTTAGAGGACTCCATAAGGTTTTCTATAGTGCCGTTCAGCATGTCCATACCTTCAGAAGAACAAGAGACAACAGACACACAACTTTTGAGGGACACACGACGTTTTGGTTTTCCTTTGCTTAAAAACATGTTTCTCCGGTCTATAGATTAACTTTAACCTTAGGCTCAAACTTGCTTCTCTTCTTTCCTCTCTCCATCCCAATCCGTTTCTCCCTGCCCTTGTCTCTTCTAGGTTTTAAACCCTGAAGTTACTCATCGTTGTTAGCTGCTGTGGGAACCTGGTCTGGGTGGAAAAAAAAATCTGCCCGTTGGCTTTGCCAACGCAACGCAATCTAGGTGTTACAGCTGGGCTTGAATCTCTGTGGGCCACTTCGTGTTTGCACTCCCACCAAATATTAAGTTGTAGCTGGGGCAGGGGTGGAAATGCTACCGGTTCGGGAGAACTGGTAGTGATTTAAAAAAAAGCTACCAATTCGTCCGAACTGGTATTTCCGACGATCAGCTCTGCCGTGCAATTTACATTTGCTAAAAAGCAGGAAATCCTGCTTTCTAGTGAATCTAACTTGCACGGCAGAGCTGTTCCCCCACCTCGCTGTTCTACTTACCTTGTTAAGCTTCTTTTTCCGCACGAACGCACATTTGGCGTACACTGCACATGTGCATGCAGCGAACCGGTGGCAATCCGTGGAGGATTTCACCACTGAGCTGGGGTTTCGATTTTGAGTGGTTTAACGTGTTGTATGAACGTAGCAAACATCACGCGGATTTCAGAAAATTCAGCCTTGGTAGAATATTTGTAGCTCAGCGTGGAACCGTGGGGTGTTTGGTGCTGTCTGAGGTTGGTGGTTTTCTGGTGATGTTTTGTGACCCAACTAGGGAGCTTCATCAGCCACTTTCGTCACACATCAGATGATGAGTTATGAAGTCAGCACTGATGAGGTTAGCTAGTTGGATCATGGAATGTCTGTAAGAAAATAACCAAGCTCAGAGATCATCAAGGGCCCCACGATTAGTATCTAATTAAGAATGCTATGGGGACTAAATGTGTGATCTTAGGTTTTATCTTCCCCAACGGACTCCCCCCAGCTTAGTGACAGTCAAATGAGATAAAACCTCAATATACTGTACCACTCTTGAAAACTTTGCTGTTCTTTTCGCCTTGACAGATAAACCCCGATGGTCTTCTTCTAAATTTCCAGCAATTCCCAAATCCCAGAAATACTAATTATATCCTTTACGATACACAGCTGTCATTCCCTTGAGCCACACTAATTATTACTAAAAATATTAGTTATCTCATTTCAGCAAATCTACAAAAAGCTAAAGATAGGATCATGGCCCGTATCTGGCCTTTTGACCAAATACAAATTACCTGAACTATCTCAAAGACACCTGAGGAGGAGGAGGAGAGGGAGGAGCAGGAGGAGGAGAATAGCAATAGCACTACTGTGCCATCACGGAAGGAAGGAAGGAAGGAAGGAAGGAAGGAAGGAAGGAAGGAAGGAGAAGGAAGGAAGGAAGGAAGGGGAGAGGAGGAGGAGAGGAGAGGAGGAGGGAGGGAGGGAAGGAAGGAAGGAAGGAAGGAATAGCAATAGCACTTAGACTTATAAACTGCTTCACAGTGCTCTACAGCCCTCTCTAAGCAGTTTACAAAGTCAGTCTCTTGCCCCCAACAATCTAGGTCCTCATTTTACCGACCTCGGAAAGACGGAAAGCTGAATCAATCTTTGAGCTGGTAAGGATTGACCTGCTGGCAGTCAGCAGAATTAGCCTGCAATATTTGCATTCAAACTACAATGCCACCATGGAGGAGGAGGAGG